CCTCCCTCCCTCTCTCCCTCCCTCCCCCTCTCCCGCCATCTCCATCTCTATCTCCCATGTGAGGACACAGATAGAAGGTTCTCACCAGGAACAAAATCAGCAAGAACCTTGATCTTGGACATCCCAGCCTCTACAACTTAAAAAATAAATGTCTGGGGGCTCCTGGGTGGCTCAGTATGTTAAGCGTCTTGACTTTGGCTCAGGTCATGATCTGGCAGTTCGTGGGTTCGAGCCCTGCATCAGACTCTGCTGACGACTCGGCACGTGGAGCTGCTTCAGATTCTATAGCTCCCTCTTTCTCTGCCCCGTCCCTGCTCTCTCACTCTCTCAAAACTAAATAAACATTAAAAAAAAAAAAAAAAGAAAAAAAAAAAAAAGAAATATATCTGTGTTTTGGGCCACCCTGTCTATAGGTATGCTGTTAAAGCAGGCTGAACTATTAAGAAAAGTGGGGACTCTAGGCTATATATACTACTTGATCTGTCTCTGTGTTACTCACTGGCAAGTTTGGAGCAGCTTGGTTGTGCTTGTGTGGCTCAATTTTTTAAAAAAAAAAAAAAAGAAAAAAAGAAAAAGAAATATCTGTTGTTTAGGCCACCCTGTCTATGGTATGCTGTTAAAGCAGGCTGAACTGATTAAGAAAAGTGGGGACTCTAGAGCTATATATACTACTTGTGCTCAAAATCTCATCTCTGCCATTTACTCACTGGCAAGTTTGGGCAACTTGGTTAACCTTTGTGTGGCTCAATTTCCCCATGATAAAAATGGGGGTAAGAAGAATACTTCTATGTGTAACACACTAAAGCACAATGCCCAGCACAATGGAAATACTTATGTGGGACAGCTACCCTTATTACCCAATGGCATGGCAGTGGTTCTACGGGAGGGAACAGAATCAGAATTTGTCAGTTTCACAAGAGGCTATTAACAATGGTCTAAATTTATAAAAATAAAGATTCTATCAGTAAGCTTAAAATAACTTTGTTGGACAACACCAGATTGAGCACATCTGACCTACCAGAAGCTGACATACAAGAAACCTACAGTATCTTGCCTGATGGGAAGACTGGTAAGACTCAATACATATGCTATATTATATTAACAGAAGCCTGGTATCCATATTAAGAGAGGTAACAGTTTCCCCCATAACCAAGACCAAACTTGAAGTATTTACTCGGTTTATTTCTCTCCTTGGGACGTAATTGTATGAGGCATACTGACAAACAGGGATCATTCCAGAATAATATGACCATGATAGTGAGGGTTTTGAGAATGAGATCTGATCATATCATATGCTCTTATAAGTACCCCGTACTTTTCCTTTTCTATATAAACTACATGCATACATGCGACATAGGTATATGTGTATATACAGTACCCATACTTGTGCACATGCACATGTAACAGAGTGCTATTGTCTATCTCCTGCACTAGATTACAAATTCAATAAGGACAAGGATGGTGTCTGGCTCACCAATGTGTCACTAGTACTTAGTACAGTACTTTCACCTTATTAGTATTCCTTTAAGGTACTCAAAAATTACTTCCTGGATGAATGAGTAAATGAATGTGCATCACACAGGAAATTTTTGAAGGCCAAGGATGTATAGACCTAGCAAGCTATGATGGATGACTTCAAATAACCCAATGACTGTCCTATAGAAAAGAAAGTACACTAATTTGGGGAGGTTCCAGATGGCAGAGTTAAGGCCACTAGGTAGAGGCAGAATTCAAATCTAGGTAAGAAAGAACTTGTGATAGCTGAATCTGTATGACAAATTTAGCAGGTTGCTTTACGAAGCAGTGAACCCTCGAGGTGGCTCAGTCAGTTAAGCATCCAACTTCGGCTCAGGTCATGATCTCACGGTTAGTGGGTTCGAGCTCCGCATCGGGCTCTGTGCGGACAGCTCAGCCTCGAGCCTGCTTCGGATTCTCTGTCTCCCTCTCTATCTGCCCATCCCCTGCTCATGCTCTGTCTCTCTCTCTAAAATAAACAAACAATAAAAAAAATTAAAAACAAAACAAAGCAGTGATCCCTCTATCACCACAAAACAAGGGAGTTTGGGGGAGCCTGGGTGGCTCAGTTGGTTAAGCATCTGATTTGGGCTCAGGTCATAATCTCATGGTACATGAGTTCAAGCCCTGCATGGGGCTTTCTGCTGCCAGTGCAGAGCCTGCTTCAGATCCTGTTTCTCTCTCTCTCTCTCTGCCCCTCCTTTGCTTGTGCACATGTGCTCTCTCTCTCCCTCCCCTTCAAAATTAAATAAACATTTAAAAAACTTAAAAAACAAAAAAAGAAAAGAAAACAAGGAGCTTGGCAGTTCTATGGGAAGGACCCTACAGTAGGTGGTCTACACCTACAATCCTTCCTAACCATACGAGACTGGGTCTTCTGTTACTTTAACCTTCTTACGTGCCAGTCTTTTCCTATTTCTGCCCATCCAGGGCCTAGAACCTCACATAGAAAGTGTGTACTTGCTATGTCTCTAAAGGGCTCTAGGAAGTTGGATACACTTATCTACACTGGGGGCAGGGAGGGAATACTCCTAAAGAGAGCGGAGGAAGGAACAGGTGCAGAAGGAAAAGCCCTCTCAGAGCCGATAGTGAGACTTTAAAGGTGCACATCTTAGGAGGGGCTCATTTCAGTCAGTTGACTGAAATATCCATGGGCAACTTTCTTAATAATCAGAGACTCAAAGTATGCTAATCTAATCACTTCATAGCCAAGCAAAGTACAAACATTTAAATCCCACTCTGGCAAACTAGTAGAATCATCAGAATCTTGTGTAGAAAACAAGAACATTTTACAGATAAAATCGTGAAAATACCATCTCCCTCACCATTCTCCTTCTTCAGGGCTTAGCACTTCCATCAGAGAAGCTCACTGACAACAGCAGTTTCAACCTGCCCCAGTCTGGACTCAGAGAGCACAGCTCTTTCAGACCTTTTCTAGGTGGCTGGGCATCATGTGTGAAATCACTTTTCACTCGAGAACATCAATCATACAAATTGTTTTTATTAAAAGCACATGAAAAACAGCACAACCTCTCCACTCGAGGGTTTGTTTTATGGAAAGGTGCCAACCCATCTAACAATATATAGAAAAATCTTGGGGCTCAGTAGGGTTGAGCATCCGACTTCGGCACAGGGCATGATATCACGGTTCATGAGTTCAAGCCCACACTGGGCTTTGCACTGATAATGCAGAACCTGCTTTGGATTCTCTGTCTCCCTCTCTCTGCCCCTCCCCAGCTGATGCTCTCTCTCTCTCTCAAAAATAAACACTTAAATAAAGAAATAAGTGTAAAAATATATAGAAATACTCAATTCGTTAGGCTTCAAAGACTTTATTCTAGAGTGAAATTAAGCATCTTTCTGGTGCCTTCCCTCCTCACTCTTTAGCAGAGATAAGATATGCCTGTGGTCTCCCAAAGCCCAAACAATTTGTCATTCCTCAGAAGTGGTAAGACTTCACAGGTCTGGTGTCTTACGGGAAAGGTAAGAGACCCTGAAGCGCTCAGACTGCACCAGAAGATCCAGAATCCAGAAACAGACTCCCATATTGATTGAAATCCCTTTGACAAGTACCTGTTTCGTCATGTGAGAGATGGGGTAAGTCCTTCCCAGAGAACATTCCATGATCCGAATCAGCAGCCTCCCACAAAGGAGCGGTCACAGTGGCCCAGTGCAGCTTCATGCTAATGAGGCCCCCCGCCCTCTTTGATATACCATCATCTGTGCAGCACTGACCTTCTACAGAGGAGAAAGGAAGGTAGGCTGGGCCTGGCCTTACCTGTTTTTCCTGCTCCGCTTTCCCCGGTAATGAGAATACATTGGTCTTTATCTTGATCTCTTAGGGACCTGTATGCTTCATCTGACAGGGCAAAGCTGTAGGGGAGAATGGGAGAGAAGTCCTTAAAATTCAGCTCATTATTCACATGTTTATGAAATGTAACTAGAGGCTCTTTAAAGGACACTGGTATGCTGCAGATAGAAAGCCGAGACGTCAGATTTTATTTCCTTCAAATTCTTAAAGGAAATAAATAAACCCATCCATCCTTGTGGCCCATGGTCCCTTTTCCTTCACATCCTCTAGTAAACGAAGTGGTACTGACTTACCGTCCTCTAAAGATATGCTTATTTAACCCACATGTGATACTTATGGTTCATTTTATTAAAATCTTGGCAATTCAGAGAACCAAGAAGAAAATGTCGCATCACATGTCCAACACTGGATGATGCAGCGGTTTTCAGGACAATACACTGGAATTTCAAAAAAATTTTTTCGAATGTTAGAAAAAATTCTATCAAATGCCAAATGGCTGATATTACCATCATTGAGCTAAATACAGAACTACTGCCTTCACAAACAGATAACAAACTGTAACGCCCACCAGAGGCAAGGAGGACCTTGGGTCGGCCAGGGGTCTGCTCCAGTCCTAGGCCCTCAAGCTCCTCACGGGGCCCTGTGCTGACAACAGGGCCCCCTATCAAGACCAGGCCAGTCCCCAGGTTGATCTTCCTTGCCTCAAAATTTATAAATAAGGTAAAATTTGCCCCCTCCAGCTAAATGAAAAATAATTGTTTGGGTTTTTTTTTTTTTTTTTTTTAATGTTTACTTTTTTATTCTGAGAGAGAGCATGAGCAGGGGAGGGGCAGAGAGAAGCCCAAGCAGGCTCCACACTGTCAGCGCAGAGCCCGATGTGGGGCTTGATCTCATGATCAAGTGAGACCATGACCTGAGCTGATACCAAGAGTCAGATGCTCATCGGACTGAGCCCAGGCGCCCTTAACTGAGAAATAAACTTGACAATATGATACTGTGTTTAAAACAGGGGCTCCTGGGTGGCTCAGTTGGTTGAACTTCTGACTCTTGATTTCAGCTCAGCTCCTGATCCCAGGGTTGTGTGATCGAGCCCTGAGCAGGGACTCCTCACTGTGTGTGTAGCCTGCTTAAGATCCTTTCTCTCTGTCTTTCTCTCTCTCTCTCTCTCAAACTGAAAAAGAAAAAAGAAAAAAAAAAAAAAAAAAAAAAAAAAAAAAAAAAAAGGTAAAGCCCTATTCATTTATCAACAAGTATCTATCAAGAGTCTACCTTGTGTAAAGAACATGCTGGAAATATAAAGGTAAGCTAGACTCAGCCCTTTTCCAGGAATTCTCAGCCAAAAGCAGGGGAGAGAGATACAAATAGAAAACAGCAACCCAACAAGTTAAGAGCAATGAGAAAGATATGTGCACAACATTGCAGAATAAGACAGGGGCCCAAGGGGATGGGGAAGGGAGCCGCAGATTCTTCAGAAGTAGGAAAACCAGTCCTAAGGAATACATTAACAAGGGTAAGGGCTTTTAGGCAAAAAAGCAAAAAACAAAATAATCGAGAGTGTGGATATTCCTTCTTGCTGGAAGGCAGAGCATAAAGAAGGGGTGAGCAATGAGCCAGGGAGATAGATGGGCAGACTCCAAATTGGAGCAGAGATGATAAGGGTGCCACACTCCGGGACTGTAAGCAGGAGAGTGGCAGGATCAGGTAGGATTTAGATAGTAATTAGAGCTAAAAATGGCAACCTTACCAGCACTGTCTCCAAGCCCTTCATATTTAATCATTTTAACTCAAACTACTAAGGGTAAGTTATTATTAATCCCACTTCCCGATGATAAAACTGTGGCACAAAATAAAGACATAATTTGCCAAGGTTACACTGCCGATGGGACACAGTAGAGCCAGAACTGATCCCCTGCTCCTGACCACTGGGATAGCCTGCCGCTTCATGGCGGGCAGGGCCACAAGAATGCATAGGAGACCAATCTGAAATAAGGAACATCAGTGAAGGGCTGGCGATACGGGGAGAGTTTACATTTCGCTGACCAGACCACAGAAAGCCTTTCAGTCAATGACCGGCTCTTCTTGAAAAGGTGAGTAGGAGCATCATTAATACTGACAATTTACTGAGCAGGATGAAGTGCTCTCATGTTCATAATCAGATTTGATCCTTAAAACAGCTCTATGAAGTAAACGCTGGCCTCCTTGAGGATAAATGATCCAACTCAGACTGAGAAATGACACAACGTGTCCGTGACCCCTTTCCCAGAACAGTCCTAACTTGAACCTGGAAATACTGTGTACCACATTCTTCCCTTCTTGTCACATCCTCTTAGGGCTATCTGTGATCTCATCTTCTGGCAGAGCTACTGTGGGACCTCAAAGAGCCACCATGAGCCTTATTCTGTAACCATCATTTCAATGAATCCAATCCCTTGCCCATAATAAGTATATTCTTGAAAGCATTTGTTGAATGAACGTATGAATATGAAAAGAGAAAGGAAAAAATAATGGAACTATCTGGCACAAGGGACTTTTTTTTTTATAACGTTTATTTATTTTTGAGAGAGAGAGAGACAGAGCATGAACGGGGGAGGGGCAGAGAGAGAGGGAGACACAGAATCGGAAGCAGGCTCCAGGCTCTGAGCCATCAGCCCAGAGCCCGACGCGGGGCTCAAACTTGCAGACCGCGAGATCGTGACCTGAGCTGAAGTCGGACGCTTAACCGACTGAGCCACCCAGGCGCCCCACAAGGGACTTTTTTGAGTAGCAGGTGGTTTTAGCTCATTTATAAGACCAGTGCACGGGGTGATCTTCTGCCCAGCAGGTCTTACCCTCTCCTCAAATCCCTCTCAGCCATTCCCTATCTAGCCAGCACCTTGCTCACCCCCTTAGACCACTCAGCAGGGCTCCTCCTTCTCTTGTGTTCTCTGATGTCCTCAGGTAAAAACAAGCATGCCCCTGCGCACACCAATGCACAGTAAGGACAGTGAAAAATACAATGACTGTGGGAACAGAAGACACCCTGGGTAGGATTCTCTAGGCCCCGGATCCACAATTCCCCACCTACATGACCGTGAGGCCAGTACCTCACCCTGGCTGCATGGCAGTCTCTTCACGTACCAATTGGAGAACAGAGCCACATACCACATACTTCAGCTTAGAAGGTTAAAGAAAGGTGTATAAAAGCTCTGGAAGTGTTATAAAGCCCTAAATAAACGTGTGAATTCTTTCTGTGCTACAATCAGTTATGTACACATCTTCCCAACCCCTACCAGGAGGTAAGCTCCTCTAGGGCACCGCCTTTTTTCTAGTTAATCTTTGTGCCGTCCTGCAGAGTTACAAGCATAAGACGCCAAAAATACGCAAATAGGAAAGAATAGATGAGTGAATTCTCTCCAAATATCAACAAAGTAAGTCACTATTGGAGTGAGCCCGGCAGAATGGTAAACAGGAAAGTCATTTCTTCTTATGACCTTCATGCAGGAAAGAAAAGCAGAGCTTAGATTTCTTACGAGCTTCACTCTCCCTGCCATTCTTCTCACCTCCAGACAACAGCTCAGAGATGCCACTATCATTATCATCACTGGCAAGAAATGCAGGAAAACACATTATGGCAAATACAAATGAACTTTTCCTACTATATATACATATATGGTGTGTGTGTATATATGTATGTGTGTATATATATATGTATATGTATATATATACATATACATATATATATACACACATACATATACATACACACACACACACACACACATACACACACACACATATATATTCACTGTACATATTCACTGACTTCCTCATGGGTTGTTCAACACAAGCCTTTCCTATGCTCCTAAGACTGCAAGTTAGGTTTAAATATTACACCATCAATGATTCAAAATTATTTCTAACATGAATAACAATATATGACTGTGTGTGTGCACACAACACACATAAACACACATAAACGAGGCTTTAGAAGATCACCAAATGACCCTGCCATGGGTTTATGTCACATCAAAACACTTATGCTGAATGCTTAGTTTTTTTCTTGTCTGTCCAGACAGAAATACTTAACTGCTGTCCCCCAAAACTGGGTTTGATCTACAATGGAGTATATTTTAATATAAAGGCTAAAAGGGAGAGTTATTCTTTCGAGACTCTAGACGGCCATGAAAATTTATCAACTGAAGTACTCAAGCACTGGAACAATGGGCTGGGACTGTTGGCACACCCAGCCCAGGCACACTATAAATGCGATCGTATGTGTACTTCGTATGAACTCAGACCTTGACTTTACAAATGACCGAAGGGCAGGCCATGAAGGACATAAGCCCTGCCCCCGGCCTTGTTCTCTTCCTCTCCGGCAACATTAGCAGGTACCCATCACCACGGCCAACATTTATAACTATAAACTGAAACCACATGCCAGTCTTCCAAACCACTCTGTAATTAAGGAACCTAAATAAATCTTTAGAAAAGTTTTTCCTTCAAAACACTTGTGACCCATATGCTTGACATTATTTTGTGAGCATGTCAGCATTGTTATTTACCACACGCAGAAATGAATGGTTTATTATAACGCAGTGACGATAACATCAGGGGCAAGCATGGGTTTGATGCCACCACATCAAGAGCGTGGGTTTCACCCACTTCTTCTGTCTTCTAGTTGAGCTCTAAGAATAGAGACAGCCTGACGCTTGAAAGCAAGTCCCCCCTTCATTTCCAGGTCAGCTGCACAGCTGTTAGCTGAGAGCCAAACTTTCCCGAACACCACCACGCATGCTCACTGCACATTTCCAAACAGCTGAGCTGTATCTCTTGCTTTTCGGTTTTAGATGTTTGGTTTGGGTCATCTGTTATTTTCTGTCGGGGCGCAATGTTGGGTTGCACGTTGAAAAATTAAGTAGCCGGTACGTATGCTTCTCCTCCATCTTATTTCTGCTCAGAATGTCCATCTCCACAGTGGTTCTGCTTTTATGGTCATCAAAGGTGACAGCAGGGCTTTTTTCCCCAAAACTCTAGGCTCTCCACCCTGCCACCTGCTTTCTAAGTTTATTTCATCTATAATGCA